GTCCTGGTGCAGGGAGGTCCGTGAGGCCCAAGCCGCTGCTCCCTCGGTGCTCCCCTGGAGTCCTGTTGAGCCGTGCAGGCCCTCGGCTCCTTCCTCCTCAGCCTGCTCCTGGCTGGGGCCGGACCCGCTGCAGGCTTGTTCTTATCGTAATAAACAAGTAGAGGTGGTGTTTCTGATACATAAATGATTATATTAGGTAAAATGCTTAATTTTGGAAAACTTTTGGAAAATGAGGTGAGGTACCTGTTGGATTTTCTAGTATGATATATATTGCTTACAAAGGAAGGGAGTTCTTCCTTCTTCTTTCCTCTGAATTTAGCAGCTGCTTGCTTTTAGCATCATAACGAAAAGAATTTCAATGAATCTCTTTTAAACTCAAGAGAAAAAAAAAAAGCTTGTTGTTAAATAGCAGATAGCGAACGTCTTGGGTACTGATCAAAGAGAGTAAGTCATCCTGTGAAGCTTGATGGAAAATCAGAAAAACATGCAGCTTTCTTAGCAAATCCCTTGTAGTTCAGCCTATGACCAGGGATTTTTTTTTTAATTTTCATAATTATGATATTAATATTAGTATTGATCCAATATCCTGACTTCTAGTTTGAGAGAGAAAGCAAAGAAACCTATTTGTTTGTTAACTTCTGGAGAGATTTTTTTTTTTTTTAGCTGATTTTACTTTGCACTTTAAAGCTAGAAATGTGCTATTTTGTTACCTATTTCAAGCTTTCAGAAGCTTATTAGGGATCTATTTGCACTTCCTAGCTGAGTGGAGGATACTGGTAGCTAGACCGAAGAGGAAGAAAAATATTTGCATAAGCAGTTAAGTTTTAAAATTCTTGAAAAGTCTTAGTTTTGTTTTTGCTGAGCAGCTGTGTAGACAATTGTGGTGGTTTCCTTGCTGCAAGTTGCTTTTCCCAAGCAGGAACGACTAATGGTTAACGAGACAGGCAAGTGTCATTGCTCTTCTGTAGGGAACAACGAAACTGATGTGCCAGCCTAACTCTCCTGCTGTTTAGGAGAGATTGAATTAGTCCCAGAAATTGTTAACAGAAGACAAAAAGACAGCAACTGGAGAGAAAAACTTTATTATGTACATTAAGGCAGCTGTGTCTTCATGGTGAATAATGAGCTGTGGTTGGGCTAAGGATGCTCTGTGCAGAACAGAAGCAATTAATGTCTTCATAGCTCTCCCTGTCCTCACCTCTTGTGATAGATGTTTTTTAGAATTTCGGGGGGTTTTGTTTGAAGTAAGTTAGTAAATCTTGGTTCAGACTTCTGAACTTTTGGTAGGATCAGACAGCTGTCGATTCCCAACACTTCTTGTGAACCACTGTGGAGGTGTATGTGTCTAATCTTTAAATTGAAGACACTGTAAAAATGAGACCAGTTCTGCAAGCTGTGCTCAATTGCTTTGACACCAGTTTAGGAGCTGTTAATTTATGTAATTACCAGACTTATGCAGGGACCTACGAGGAACATTTTCAAAAACTTTTAAGATTCAATCCATTTTACATTCAGGTCATTCAACAGGATCCAAACTGTCCTTGCATTGAGCAGTTGTTAGTGGCTTAATCTTTCATGAAGCGAATCTCGATTTCTCTATTAGGTGTCCACAGCACAGTTGCTGTAATTGCATCTCTACTGCTAGTCTGGAGAGAGTAACACAAGTCCAAACAGCGGTGGTGGCATTCTGTCCTGGCTAGAATTAGAAGTAGTCCCACTAGACATTTAACACTGTGGCTCCTTGAGCAGCTAAGCTGGCAGAAGTCAGCAGTGCTGCCCAGCGCTGCCTTCCCTCTGTCCTAGCACAAGTGTCAGCCAAACAGTGAATTGCTCTGAGGAACTAAGCCAAGTTAAAAGTAACTCGGAGGAAAAAAAAACCCAACACATAAATTCATTTTAATCCAGGTTAATTTCCAGATAATAATTATGGGAATACCCCTACTGGCACATGAGGAAGGCTAGATGACCTAAGATGAGGTGTTTTGTGTGTTTTGATCTAATGGCTGATCTGTGGCCCCTGAAGAGTGATTATAGAATCTGTTTCAAAACCAGAGGAAGGAATCAATCTAACAGAGAAACTGACTTGCTTTGTTTACCCAGCAGAGGGGCTTGTATGCACAGCTGAGAAGTTTGTAAACAGTGAGCAGCTGGTCATGGGTATTGTAATTTGTGTGATACTCTGCATGCCTAGTCTTGTAATTTTTAAAGATTACTGCTTTCTTTTGTGGGTGAGACACAGGCCTTTAGTACCTCTATAAACATTCATGCTTTGAAACATGAAAGAGGAAATAAAGCAGTTAAAAATGAATAAACTCCTGGTACCTACAGATTGAGGGTGAATGGATGAGCTGGAAATAAATTTCTGGTGTTAAAAACAAACAGGTGAAACTTTCTTGTAAACACTTGCTCCAGTTTTTAAGATGGAGTTTTATTTTAAAGAGATGCAGCTCTTAATAACCATTAAAGGAAAAATACAAGTACTGGGCTTTTTGAGGTCTGAATCTTAATTTTTTTTTCTTACGTAATTGATGCTGCTATTAAATATGGGAAATAAGCAAATTAATGTTTGAATGTTTGTAAATTGAGTAAAGTAAGCTACCTTCAGATCAGCTTGCTTTTAATTCTTGATTTATTAAGTAGGTTCTTTCTGTCTGGAAAACCTGAAAGGAACACAAACTGATGCTGAAATGTCAATTTAAACTCAGATTTTCTCCTTGTGTACAACTGCTTGTCCATCCCGTACGTTCTCTTTGAAGTGCAATATCTTGTCTTCCTAATAAAACATCCTCTTGGAGCCATAATGAGCATGGGGATTTCTTGTGTGTGTGGTGTAAGTGATGAAGTACCAGCTGTGCCCTGCTGAGCTTTGCCAGTGCCTGTGGCTTTGTAATACTGTATTTTCAAATTCATAGATAACCATTCAGTACTTGTTTTCTAAATTACACCATTTATTGCTAAGCAGCATAAATAAAAACTTGAATAGATGACCAGCTGGACTTTTTATATAATATTCAGTGGATGTGACACACTTCAAAGAAGTAATAAGTTATTCTGAATGAGATGATCTAAAATGTTCATTTTTAAATGAAGTGACAACTGTATCATGTGACACAGACTTCACTTCAGAGCCAAGTCTTTGTGGAGGAAGCTTTTGTTTTTACTAGTGCTCTGAATAAGTTTAGATACCACCTAATCAAAGATAGCAGTGAAAAAGTAAAACACTGAACAATTGCTTGCTGAGGAATCCAGTTCTGATGGCTGTAATTGCGAAGCCAACTTTTGGCTTCTTAGCAGTTGAAAGATACTATCTCTCTTCCCCTTCCTATTCAGCAACAAAACAAACCTGCACACCCCCACTCCATGCAGACTGAGTTTTTGGAAGGAAGAAACAGTGATAGAAAGATCCTTTATTCTACCTTTCTCTCAGTATTTTGAATCACTTTTCTCTGCATGAATAAAGGTATGTTGGTTTTCTCAGGCATTATTCTGAAAGTAATGTTTTCAACCTTACTGCTAGTAGTGAGTTCTGAACAGGTTATTGGCCACTTCTTATCTAGATGATTTCATAAAAAATAATCACAAGAGAAGCGGTAGTGGTGTTATATCCACAGTGTGGAGACAATGAACCTGCAGTTCTGTTGCATTTAGTAGATGCTTGTGTAGTTCTTTCAGCTTAAAGAAAGATAAGGTTGAATATTTTATATTTTCTCTCCCTTTCCCCCAGTGAGGCTGGCACTTCTGTGGTGGGTGTTTTGATGCTAATGGTGAGCCATGAGTAAAGCTGCTGTACTTGAGGGAGAACAAGTATTTCTTCCTGGAATCTCTGGTTTGATCAAAATTCTGTTGAAGTTTTAAATGTTACAGTTTTGGCCTGGTTTCTTGGTGGGTTGTCTTCCTCAGGCTTTGGGGTGAGCCACATGGTTGAGGACAGGGCAGTGCAGGGAGCCCTGTCCTGCCTGAACCCAGGGTCTGGCAGGTCCCAGGTCTGGGCAGTGGAATCCTGGATCTCCTTGGTTTCCTCCTCCCGTGAAACTGACGGAAAGGGACATTTCTCAGAGCAGTTGAAGTATTTAGGAAGAAGGTTTTGTTTTGAAACTGGGACAGGCATTGCTTCCCCTACAAATTCTAGTAACAGCATAAAGAGGTGAACGTGTGTGAGGGAGGAATTATGTTTGATACACATGGAGCCAAGCTGAAACAATGGGGTTTTTTGTTTGGCCTTGTTTTGAGGGATTGTTTTTTTACACAGAACAGTTTCCTCTTTAGGCTTAAAGGCTTCTCTGTCAAACAAGCCGTTTCAAAGCTGAGATTGAACGCGATTCTGTTGCATTGCTGTGAAGTGGTCTCACTTTGGTATGGGAGTTTGTTGTGATTGTGTAGTCCATTTTAGTTTTGCTAGTTCTGCGTGCAGTTAGTTTCTAGTCACTCCTCACTTCGACCTTTCCTCGCTGTTTTGAACCTTTTGTTCTGTAGATTTCACAGAATTTGTGTATTCTGAGTTCTCCACTGTGCTTTCTGCAGTGGTCTCTTCTGTCCTGTTACAGCCGAAAACCATGTAATGCTGTATTATTCATTTTTGGTTCAGATATGTCCCTCTGGGTATCCCATGTAAGGTAGACAGTTCCTTTGATAATCAGAATAAATATGTTTGAGATGTGGGAGAACGTGTTCTTACACTTTCCAAATCCTGCTTCTTGTATAACCCATCCAGCTCTTATTTTGGATTATTTTGGACAGTTTTTATAATTCATTCAGTAAAAAGGCTGCAAGAACATGTATCCCTCACTTGTATTTGTTAACACAATTGATATTTCACTAGTTTGGCGATAGCCTGATAATAATATTACTGCTTGCTTTTTGGACTGTCACCTGGAAAGAAAAGAGAACTTTGCTGAAAAAGTGTGTGCGTGAGACGGACATGGAGAGGTTAAATGTTAAAATCT